AACGTCAGTGAACAATTGACAATGCAAATGAAAAGCAGGCAATTTTATAATCCCATTTACAGGCGGATCACTCTTTCACACAGCAGTGGCTTTACGGCTAATCACATCTTAACAAACCTTGTGAGCTGTGTTAGCGTTTATGGCTAATCAGGACTTATACAGGCATACATCGTTTATCATTATGACTGTGTGTATATCAGCGGAGGGAGTCTGCTACGGCCATACTGCTGCTTTCCTTACTGTTTCATAAACTCTGGGTCATATATGCGTATGTATTTCCTAATGTCTGCCTGCCTTTGTGTGTGTTGTGTGGTTGTGTGTACTTACAGGAAAGGCACAGTGGTAAACACAACAGTGCTGGTGTTTATTGCTGGCTCGCTCATGGGCTCAGCAGGATTGTGGTTCACCTGAGATGGTCATCTTTGGCCGCTTCATCACAGGAATTCACTCAGGTACACACCCACATATCACACACCTCTGCTTCCATTGCACACTGAGCTGTGCCCATTTACTTCTGTATGTAATGGGCATGTACACTACATGGCCAAATGTATGCATACACCACTGTTCCCTTCTTTTGTTTGAAACTGCTTTGGCAACATTGTTTAAATGAACCATTCATGCTAATAAGCACACTGAACTGAATTGAACTGAAGTGTCTACGTTCACAAAGCACCATACAGAAAAGATTTTCCAGGTGTTGAAGAACTTGATTGGCCTGCACAGCCCCGATCTCAACCCATCCAACACCTTTTGGATGACCTGGAATGCTGACTGTGAGCCAGACCTTATAACCCTACATCAGTGCTGGACCTCACTGATGCTCTGAGCGCTGAATGGGAGCAAATCCCTGCAGCCAGGTTCAACATCTGCTGGAGAGCTTAAAAACCAGAAGAGCGAAGGCTGTTCCAGCAGCACAGTAATACCCATGGCGTCGGGGATCACGGATTTGAAAACTTGTCGCCTTTTGGCAAATTTCATTATTTCTAATGAAAAAATATGGCAACCTCGTGAACTGTGTGAATCTGAGGAGTCATCATGCCATAACTCTGCAAAAAGCAGGGATTTGATCACGTGATGCAGACAGTGTGCTGCTCTAAAAGGATAAAGTTTAACTGCCAGCCACCCTAAATGCAACGAAGAGAAACAGAGTTCAAAGAGACATAGTTAAACAGTGACAACGAGCCCTTGATATTTTTGCTACAGGCCAACAGAAGGCTGCAACCGATCATTTCCTTTGTCAGTTAATCTGTAGATTATTTTGGCGATGAATCAGTTAGTTTAAAAAATGTCAGATAATAGTGAATAGTGCCCTTTACATTTCCCAAGCTAATGTCATGCATTCAAATGTTTTTTCCAACCAACAGTCCTAAACCCCAAGATATTTCATTAACAAGCTGCAAATCCTCACATCTAAGAAGAAGAAACCAGCAAATGTTTGGCATTTTTGCTGAATAGATGATGGAAACAATTAATTTTTTATCAACACTATTGGCAATTAATCTTCGGAAGATCAGCTAATTGACTAATCACTTCAGCACTTCAGCACATACAATGAACTGAATCAATTAATCTGTCTGCTCAGCAGGTTGGATGGTCGGTCTTGTGCTGTTAAGTACTTTTAACTTTTTCACAAGGTACCCAGAGCTTTAATTTAAAACATACATCTTCTCCCTCTATTTTCAGCTCAGAGTGCTCAAGAAACCACATCTTAAAATGATTTCAGATTTGCAACCTTTCCCATCTCATTTGAGTTTGCAGGGCTGCTTCAAACTATCACATATTGGTATAACGTTCAAGCATCTACATGGTTTTTCAGGTGTCCTCCTACTTGTGTTGATGTAGTGTATGTCTCATTTCTGCTTGTTCAAACTCCATAATAGTACCAATAGTTAAATAAATCAGTGCATTATTGCTTAGCTTCCTCTCGTTTTTGTTTTTACTGCAGGCATCTCTAAGTGTAGTACCAATGTACCTGGGTGAGATAGCACCTAAGAACCTGCGAGGCTTCCTGGGTCTCGTACCAAGTATCTTTATTGGCACCGGAGTCTTCACTGCTCAAATCCTCGGCTTACATGAGCTTCTAGGAAAGGTAGCCAACACTGCTTTCCAACAACAGCCAGTGTGACCATGTGGTTTTGGTATGGAGAAAAGCCTGTCTCTACATAAGCTCATGAGTTCATTACTTCCAAAACTCTTTCTCTCAAAACATTATTTTCACTTGTACATTTATATTTTATATTTGTCATTTAAACACCAACTACTATAGTATTAATAGTGTGACAAAGCACATCTTGGATTTGGACCTTAGCCAGACCTGGGATGTCTTGAAGATTTCCATCATTAATAATTTGAATTTATTAAGAAGTTCTTCACATAGACAACCAATGCAGTATTTAACTGTACAATAAATAAAAAAAGAACCAAAATTACCATCATATAACTTTGTATCAGTGATTGGCAGATAGATTTTTTAAATATAATATTGAGATATGTGGTCATTAAATTTTAAAGGTTCAGTGTGTAAGATTTAGTGTCATCTAGTGGTGAGGGTTGTGAATTGCAACCATCTATCCAGTCTACCACTGCCCCCTAACCTTTCAAAGAGCGTAGGACAGCTACGGTAGCTGACACAGCACAAAAGGTGTCTCTTCTGAGGCAGCAGAGAGTTGCCAGTCAAGAAATGAGGGTTCTTTAGGTATGTTTATTAAGAAATTATATTTACTTAATTATTCAGTAAAACCATATGTTATTGTGACTTGGCCACTGACAGATAACATGGAAAATGTGAGCCAAGAATGTGAAACACTGTCACTGTTTCTGCACCACAGTCCATTATAAACCACATTAGATAAAGTTTATACAAACATTGACAAGGGAAACACATTAATTCTCTCTGTGATTATGGACCCTTGTCAAAACTGCCCGCCACAATAATATCTGCCCCGCGGCCAGATTATGGTGCTTTTGTCACGGTTCAAAGCAGGTGAGAGCCCAAATGCAAGACACTGAGAGCGGAGATGCAGTTCAGGGAATTTAATCACGACAGAAGCAAAATAACAAGGCTACAGGTAGTTGATTAATCCACAATCCAACAGACCAAGACAGCAGAGAAACAGGCAGGACGCTCCACACATGACACGACAGAGTGTACACACGCTACAATGACCGAACAAGGACTGAAGACACAAGCAAGCATATATACACAGGGACTGACGAGCAGGGCGGGGGCAACACAGGTGACTGCGATCAGACTAACAAGACACAGGCAGGCAGAGAGACAGCAGGGGAAAACAGAGAGACAGGCAGAGAGACAGCAGGGGAAAACAGAGAGACAGACAGGCAGAGAGACAGCAGGGGAAAACAGAGAGGCAGGCAGAGAGACAGCAGGGGAAAACAGAGAGACAGGCAGAGAGACAGCAGGGGAAACAGAGAGACAGGCAGGCAGAGAGACAGCAGGGGAAACAGAGAGACAGGCAGAGAGACAGCAGGGGAAAACAGAGAGGCAGGCAGAGAGACAGCAGGGGAAAACAGAGAGACAGCAGGGGAAAACAGAGAGACAGCAGGGGAAAATAGAGAGACAGGCAGGCAGAGAGACAGCAGGGGAAACAGAGAGACAGCAGGGGAAATAGAGAGACAGGCAGGCAGAGAGACAGCAGGGGAAAGCAGAGAGACAGGCAGAGAGACAGCAGGGGAAAATAGAGTGACAGGCAGGCAGAGAGACATCAGGGGAAAACAGAGAGACAGGCAGAGAGACAGCAGGGGAAAATAGAGAGACAGGCAGAGAGACAGCAAGCAGAAGGATTACTGGGAGAACAGACATAACATAGGTTACTGGACAGTAAACACAGACATGGACCCTGGCACTTATTTAGAATAGTAATAGAATAAACTTTAATTGTCATTGTACAGTAAAACCATACAATGCAATTTGTTTGTGCAGCCTCTAAAACAATACTCACATTTATAAGCACACTCATACAATAAAAAAATAAAATAAAATAAAATCCCTATCTAAAAAACGGCTGTGCTGACGGGGGGGTAAAGGGGCATGATTATTCAGTTCTGTGATAGCCCTGGGGAAACTGTTCTGTAACCTGGAGGTGCGTGCTCCCAGAGCCTGACACCGCCTGCCAGATGGAAGCAGGGAGAAGAGATGGTTTGAGGGGTGCGTCTCATCCTGCAGAATATTATGCGCTCGGCGTAGGCAGCGGATCTTAAAGATGTCGTCCAGTGGATGCAATGGAAGTCCGATGATTTTTGAGGCAGATCTTATAATTCAATTGAGGGATTTCCTGTCCTTCTTCGTGCAGTTGGCATACCATGCAGTCATACAGTATGTTAGAACACTCTCGATGGAACATTGATAGAAGATCTTAAGCAGCTCAGCAGACAGGTTGCTCCTTTTGAGTATTCCTAAAAAGTAGAGCCACTGTTGCGCCTTTTTGACCATGGAGATTGTATTTATCTCCCATTTTAGGTCATAATCCCCAAGAATTTAAAACAGGAGACCTTTTCCACTTCCTCGCCATTCATGATGAGGGGTTGAGGGTCCTCCTTACACCTTCTGAAGTCAACTATGATCTCCTGTGTTTTCTTGACATTCAAGGTCAGATTGTTGTCTTTGCACCATCCCGTCAGTCTGTCAACTTCATCTCTGTAGGCGTTCTCATCGTTCGAGATTTCTCCCACCACAGTTGTGTCATCTGCAAATTTTATCATTGTATTCAAGGGATGGGTAGAAATGCAGTCATACGTGTAGATAGAATAGAGCAACGGGCTCAACACGCAGTCTTGCGGTGCTCCAGTGCTGAGGGACAGGCTCGAGGATAGATGTGGGCCCATTCTCACTGTCTGTGGGCGATCTGTCAGGAAATCCTTAATCCACATGCACAGGCTGCTGCTGAGACCCAAGTCAAGAAGTTTGGTGACCAGTTGGTTAGGAATGATGGTGTTAAACGCTGAGCTATAGTCTCTGAAGAGAAGTTCCAGGAAAAACGCTTAAAATAACGGACCCAAAATAAATCAGTAATATCTCCTCAACCATTTGGCCTAGATGCATAATTCTTGTCTCCTTTAAAAGTTCAGAAGCTAAGCTTTTTAGGATTTAAAATCCATTGTACATTAACATAATTATTTTAACATTACAGACTACATGTAGATGAAATACAGAAAAAAAATATTTTCATCCTCGCCTAGTAAAAAAAGCTATATTTTAATGCAATAAACCATCGAAACCTTCATAAGGTAGATTATAATGCACCTGAATATCTTCTAATACACCTGGAATACAACTGTAACTGTAAATTTGATGAAAAGAAACAGTTATTAGACAATCTTTCAAAAGTATACCAGACGAATGTCCATGATTTGGGCATATTTACTGTTTATACGTATGTTCACTGTTATTGGTAGTTATCTTCAAAACATTATTTCTCTCCATACAACCACGTTCCAAATAACATAAAGCTTCCAAAACACTGAAATATTGATAAAAACAGTCAATATATATGACCAAAAGCACTCCCATGCAAGTGGGCTCTTTCTCTTCATATTGATATCCTGGGTGTCTGTGTAGCTCCTACAGGTCGCCAGCAGAGGCCGAGAAAGTCTGCCTTCGCCAAAGCAAACTCTTGGTCTCTACTTCAATCTGACCACAGAAAGGAAACTTATCAAGCCGACCTTACCAAGATGGCGGCCCACCAGACAGTCTCTGTTGACACAAAGGATAGCGAACATCGATTACGTCCCCTATATCGGGTCAGTCCGTTACCAACAGAACTAAAATGCAGAACTAAACCCATGATACATGAAAGGAAACACAGAATAAAACACCAACAATACAGATAGGCTACAAACAAACCCAGAGACAACAGACAGAGACTAACAGGTCACAAAAAGGCCAAGAATCAAACAACAAAAACACAGAGGCCAACTACAACAGTACAAACAGGCAAACCAAATAATAAGCTTAATGAGGACAGAATAGACTAAAGCAGAATGATCAAAATCACATTAATTACGATGGTACAAAGGGGGTGGCAGTAGCGCAATGGATAAGACACATGCTTTCGTGTGAGTGACCCATCCACCATTGTGTCCCTGAGCAAGACACTTAACCCCTAGATAAAAGCGTCAGCTAAATGACTGAATGTAATGTAATGTACAGAGACTAATACATCAGACAGGAACAGAACTCAACAACAACTAAGGCAGGCACCGAAATATCAGCAGGACAGATCAGACCAGAAAAACCACACAGAAACACATAGACCAGCTCCACAAAACACAAACAGACAGGACAAAATCTAAATGCAAACACACACCAAGAAGACTGGATAGAGACAACAGACAGAAGTGAAACATAACAGATACTGAACTGACCAAATAGCAAAAAACTCACAGAGAGCTAAACTAAGATAAGAAAACCTTTATTTGTCCCACAGTGGGGAAATTGCGGAAAAAACTAAACAAGGCCGCATTGATAGCGGTAAAAAATATAAATAAATAAATACTTTGATAGCGGTGCTATCAGTCATGACAGCAACAGTTACTCACATAATAGATGCTGCTCACATGCTTGCTTGACATACCTCTGAAAGAGCCGTCAGAGAACGTGATCCCCCTCATTGTGCTCTGCCTGGAGATACTGGGGAAATGCAAAAGCGTCCGTAGGTTGATGGATGCGGAACAAACATTGAAAAAAAAAACAGTGCAGAACATTCCGTGATCGGAGAAACATCCGCTTCAGAATCCATTTATTGAAGAGAGAGAAAAAAAGTTGTCCCAAGGTGGGATCAAACACTCAAACCTTGGGTTGCAAGCCCTGCGCCATGCCAACTAAGCTAACTGAACAACATGTTGATACAAGTCAATATTAGTTCTTATATTCTCATCCACCATTTAATGCTTAAAAAAAAATATTGCTCCCATGCAAAACTTACTGCCGACCCCTGCTGTATATTATTACTACTTCTTCTTCTTCTTCTAATGTACATATTCAACATAGTGATGAGTGTCTTATTTATGATATAAATGTCTCATTCTAAGTTAATAAAAACACAATGGTTCATTATATAAGGTCTTTATAGATCACTGAAAACATAGTTATGGATCTCATATTGCATTTCTGTCTATAGATCCTCAGAATTATTACACACTGAACCTTTACGGCTCACAGTGACCTGATGAGAGTGTCGTTCTCAGCTTGTGTGTAAGTATAACTGGGTTGTGACTGTTCCAGGAGGAGCACTGGCCTCTCTTTCTGTCAGTGGTGGTGGGACCCACCTTCATTCAGTTGATGCTGTTGCCATGGTTCCCAGAGAGCCCAAGGTACCTGCTGATTGAGAAGCGCAATGTCCACGCCACCATCACAGGTCAGTGTTAAAGCATGATGACTGGTGTCTGAATGACATGACCACCCATTAGCAGGGGGAAAATGATACACGCACACTACTGTTACCTTGGTCAGCTAGCAAGTGTTGAAGGAGACCTATTATGCATTTCCATATTTTATGCCTTATCTACAATGTTACAATGTTGGATGTTCATGTTAAACATGGCCAAAGCTTCAAATAATGAGGTAAAAGTGTTTAAAAGAAATCCCTGTGAGCCAAAACCTCAGATTCTGTTCTGAACGCTCTGTTTTGAGCTGCTTATTCTACGAAAGGCTCCGTTCTACGACACACGGAGCCAGACGGAGCTGGTGTTCCATGTATGGTCATTTGCTCCGCACAGCAACGGACCATATATGCTCAGTCTGTCTGTACCGCTCAGCGACAACAACAGGTAACATGCTTCAGGTCTTGGCCAATCAGAAGACAGTGGGCTTAAAGAGACAGGAGCATCTACAGCTTGTTTCAGACAGAGGCTGAAATGAAGGCCTACATGAAGAGCCAGAAAATGATTTTTTTGAACTTTTAATCATGCAAAACTGCCATAAAGGAATCACAGAAGGACAATATAGTACTGGAAATGCAGTTTAATAGGTCTCCTTTAAGTCACAAAAAGTTCCTCAAATGTTGCTGTAATGACCTATGTTTCAGATGTGATGTTGTATGATGAGCTGTAACCATGCTGCTTCCCGTCCCCTGTCTCTCAGCCCTGAAGTGGTACCGAGCCAAGTGTAACATCCAGGCTGAGATTGAAGAGATGCAGGAGGAGCAGCGCTCCCTGTTGTCAGTAGAGACGCTATCAGTATGGAAGCTGTTGGTGGATGACACCGTCCGCTGGCAGGTGCTGAGTGTGGTGGTCATCAACATCGGCATGCAGCTGTCTGGCATCGATGCTGTAAGGAAACTGAGTAATGTATACGCAGAAGAAAAGGGGGTTGGCATGTCTTTTTTGATACTATCACTTGAATTTAGTTGTAAGTCCAGAATTTCCTCATTTTCACCATAGTTTAAGCTGCTTCCCCAAGTGGGAAATGTGTCCAAGCATACATCAAGCATGAGCATTACACATCGAGCAGTGTCTCAGTTCGGCACGGCTGAAACAAATAAAATACAGAAGATTAGCAAATGCATGCTATATGGAATACTATGAAGTGAAAATGACATTAAAGCTGCATTAACTGATTTTTGATCACATGAGGCAGTGGAACATGGTGAGAGAACACAGCACCTTTCACTCCTACTAGCGCAACACAAATGCTGCTGATGCCAGATTAATTGATTCATGAAATTATTGTCAGAAAAATTAACATTTAATTCCCTGTTCACTTTTTAAACGTAATTTGATATTTGGGGGCTTGGGGGAGTTCAAGTGTAGTCACCAGTCATTGGTGTCAAGTTGCATATCTGTTTGATTTTGTCATGCCAAGTCACTAGATTCATGACTTAGGTCAAACTCGACTCTAACACAACTATTAATGTTACATTTTGTCACCTGTAGTTACACTGGCATTTCCCTAAAAGGGGCTCAACATACTAAAATTGTATCAAGTTCTGTTATTGTCCAGAGGGCATTCCAAGGTTTAGCAGGTGTTTGCTTAAAATGGTATCAACAAACAGATTCCGTCTCTATTTCCTCTATTTGTGCTTGCTTACCATCAGCTGTTGGCTGCCAAATGGTGTCTGGTAAATGGAGTCTTTAGGCTACAGTGAGGAGCAGCACAGACTGGCACATCAGAAGGTTTTTTTCAGCACTGGCTCATTTCAGCTTGAGCTTTTTGTAATTGCAAATCGTTGTCCGTTTGCTTTTTCACTCTTTGTCCAGCTCGACCTCGCCGCCTGTTTCTACAGCTCCCTCATCTGATTGATCTAGCTTATTAGACAAAAACACTGGGATGCAAATATGCCTAAATGATCCCTCATTGTTTTATAAGGCTCGCGTGGTCCTGTGAATAAAGCCAAAAGCTGGTGTCATCATTTTTCTGCCGATACGATTAGCTAAATTCTCCCTCTGAATTATGCCCTGGAGATTCATTAATTATTCAAATGATCACCGGGGCGCCCGGGCCAGAAAGTGCACACTATAAGCACTGGAGCTGAACTCATTAGCACGCCTTTCTCCAGGCTGTATTTTTAGCTGCTAATTAGCTGTGCCTAAACAAAGTGGAGCACTGCTGAAACATGCACATACTGAGAGCCGCACTGAGGATGAGGAGGAATATGGTGATATAGCTGGTGGTGGTGGTGATGATCAAGATGACAAAACTAGAATGAGAAGGATAATCAATTAAAATGAAAATGAATCAATCAGTATAATCAACAATGATGATGACAGTGATGAGGATGAAGGGCATGTTGTGACCATAATAATAAAGATGACAGTGATAACAGATGAAGACTTTATTGGTGATGATGATGATGACAGAAGGAAGACAGCATAACTTGAGAGAATGAGCATGGTCATGCACGTGAGTATTAATAATTATAATAATATAATGATGATCACGATGACGAGGAGGGTGCTTTTGTGAGCGTGATGACGAAGATAGCTGTGATGATCAGAAATGGTGATAACAGAGGCGATTATTGTGCTTGCCACAACAATAATGAAGATGGCAGTGTTTGAGGTGATGGCGGTTTCGTTTGATGGTGAGATGACATGACCACAATCATTCCTGATAATGGTAATGATGATGGTCAAGATAATAATAATGGTAAGAGTGACGACAATGATGAAGGTAATGATGACAAACAATAATTGTGATTATGATGATGATGTTTTTGAGTACACTGATTTGATGATGATGATGATAGTAATGGCGACTGCGGTGTGGCAAATGCTGGAGGTGATATTTAAGTGCATGTGACAGTTGGCAAGCCTTGGCACAGTTCTTGGCACACCACAGGACTGCGTGTGTGTGTGTGTGTGTGTGTGTGTGTGTGTGTGCGTGCGTGTGTGTGTGTGTGTGTGTGTGTGTGTGTGTGTGTGTTAATGCCAGCCATGTGGGTTTGTTTGCTTATATACCTGGTCCTCTAACTGTCACCGTCTGCTGTCTCCAGTTAATACACCTGCTCTCCCTAAAGCCTCAAATTGAATCAAATTGAATGTGAGCAAATGTCTTGTGTCTCTTTGTGGCAATGCCGTACCACCTGTGCAGCTCACAAGTACCGAATGTCTGCTTCCCCATTTAGATTTTTACATCGTTGTTTTTTCTTCTTGTGGCATATGTCAGCCAAACTGTTCACATGTGACTGGCTAGCTACTGTGGGTAACTCTAGCTGTGTAGCATGCAGTGTGTCTCAATTCCATACATACTAATCTTGATAGTATGCTGTTGTAGCAGAAAATGAAAAAAGGCTAGCACCAATAGTCATCTGTGACTTTGTGACACTGCTGCAAAATTCACATTTGAAGTAGCATTTAAGTTGACTTTATTGGTTGGGCTTTTCAGTGACACCCACTAGAGCAGCATGATGTCATCACTGAAGGCAGCAGCAGTTTGGAGGAAGTTCAAGTCCCTGCATGCAGGATTTGAACATTTTTGAATTTGGTGACTCCTAGTGGTTAGGGAGTCTGGGACACTAAGATGGATTACCTGAAGGCAACAAGGAATTCAGATTTTTAAAGTAGTATTCATTGATTATTTTAGCCATGCAGTAATATCCATTTGGAGACAGATTTGCGTATAACATTATTGAATACACTCACACCACCACTATATTTTCCACTCTCACTTCTGTAGGCCTTTTGTTATGACATCATAAGTTCTGAACAAAATCTACAGCAGGGTGACACTGCTCAAAATGTTATCACCATAACACTTCCTACATCATTTGATTCCATAATCTGATTATTATTATTTTGTTATCATTTTATATAAGTGTTCATTAAACAGAACTTCCTTGTCTGGTGGACAGTGATTAAAGCTGCGACAGAATAGTTTAGGATTTGAGCATGTCCTATATCAGCACCCTAGTTTAAAATGACATGGGTGGCAGATAGCTGGTTTAATCAGACTGATGTATTAAAGAAAGATGCAGAGTTCTAAATTGGTGTGGGCGCATGGCGCTGAACACAGCTCTGAAGTGGACAACTGGGATCTTCCTTTCAGAATAAAGGTTAAAAGGGATTCTTACCAGCTCTGTCATTCACAATGGTTAGTTGTCTAGTCCTTTACTCTCTTTACATTCTTTATTAATACATTCTTTGTCACCCAGTTATGACTTGATAGAGACAAACAAAGTACCGGTTAAGAACACAGAGTTTGCTTTTATATCAACAAGTGCTACTGCTCCAAAGCCCCCAGTATCTGTCCATCAGGAAACTGTAAATCACAGTGTTGAGGCAGAGCAGCCAGAAGACATCAGACGGAAAACCAGAAAATATTTACCTTTCCTTCATAACCGTAAAAGCACTTTCTGTGAGACACACTGAACAAGCTTCTCTAGCTTGATGGGATGACCGCTTGGTGTTGTGTTGGAACAAAAGGTTGGACGGTGGGGGCATGGCTGAGAGTGATGTATACAGTACGTGTTCAGTGGGCAGGGCCATCTACTTTGCTGAAGGGCTGGAGCTGAGGCAATTCTAGGATCAGACCTTTAAGGGTGCTCAGCCCCTAATGAGAATGTAGTGTGGCGTCCGAACAATAATGCTGCGATGATGTGTTGAGAAGAAATCCGCTTGACACTGTTCTTGATCATAAAAGTTTATTACATCAAGGAGTTCAGCATCAATTACAAGCTCTGCAGCAGCTTGGAGAGAGACCCAGCCCGATGGCCACTCTGTCTCTCTGTACATCAAACACAGCTTATATAGGACATGTTTAGGTATCTGTTAGACACCATAGAAGGGTTCAATCCCTACATAAACACTGACCTCTGCTCTCCCCTTAAAAGGTCACTAATCCTCTATCCAGCTGCTACAGTGTTATTTATTATTTTATTTTTTATTTTTATTTTTTGTTATGAGTCAAATGCACATATATTATACACCACAGTAGCATGCATACAATGCTTTGCAAAAGTGTTCACTAATTGGTGGAGAGAATAAGTAGGCCTGCTAGAGAGGAGCTGGTGCAGAACAGAGCAGGTCAGTCAAGGGTGTCACTTTGTGTTGAAAAGTGGGGACAGATTAGAGGGGTGATGATACATTTGGGTCATGAGACGTGACGATGCACGAGAACAAGACAAGAAGATTTTTAGCACTATTTAGATTCAATATTTGATGCAGAAATATATGTGTGGGGGTCTGCCTCCCCCATAAGATTTTGAGCATTAAACTCGTAATTTCCTGTTTTCTGGAGACATTTTCTGCTCCAATTTATGGTGGAAATGTCTGTTTTTATATAAAACTATATTGCAGTGCATATTTTCTTATTGTGCAAATCAACCTTTCTCAAAGCATTTTCATTTGTTAGGTAACATTTCTTGGTGCAAGCTATTTTTCAGAACGTTTTTAACAAATGCTTTCAAAAAGTGATGGAGACAAAATCAGCCATTTGAAAATGTGGTGGACATGTCCCCAGCGTCCCCAGTGTAAATGACCCCTACGGGATCAGTGGACCACTCAGGGTCAGACAGCAGTGTGGAGCTGTGTGCTGGTGTTCACTCCCTCAGAGGAGGGAGGCTGTTAAAGTGTTTCCCTAATAAGTTAAATCTTGTTACAGGCTTGCTTTCGCTTTTAAGGAAGTAGTTTGCTGTTGCTGATTGAGTTTCATTTGTTAGTTTTTTCATTGTTAAAAATCTTTATGGTTATTTTTAATCTTTATGGACACACAAACTGACAGCAGCTGACCGGTCCGCCAGCGCGGTCGTGGATCATTCAATAAAACATTAGAAACTGAAAAATGCCAGTATTTAGGACATTAAATTAGGAAATTAATGTAAGAAAAGCCTGAAACTGTAGGCTAATTGGTTGTCCCTTCTTTTACTTCTCCAAAATCTAACGTTAGAGGACAAAAAAAATTATTTTCAGAAAATAATAATAAATGGTTGTATTATTTTTTAGATGAAATGGTCTAAAATCGGTCCTGTGCTGGAGGATGTCCTCTGCTAAACACATCCATTCATGATGTCAAGAAGGGTCCCAAATTCAAACAGCTTGTTTGCTCACATTTACTGAAAGACTGAGCTGGAGAAAAAGAGAGTCTGGGGGTCTTTATACACAAACCGGGGGCACGGGTGTGTTGAAAAGTGAATTTTGCTTAATATGGGACCTTTAAGGTTTTTAAATTATTTATTACTTCTAGTTATTTGACCATTTGACTGTACCTTTTGCTACATGATCAATACTGTCATGTATTGTCGCTGATGTCGACTGTACTTCCACGTGGTCCCTGTTTTTCTACCATGTATTGTCTTAATATGTCCTGTTTATATGTGTCCACAGTAGCTACAGAGTGAGGTACTGATCTTCAACTTGTCATGACATGAAAATATGGCAGACCAAGAAAGGTCTTGGCCTGGGCTGAAAAAGATGGATTTCACCTTACTGAAATTTTTTCCACCACAGATCTGGTTCTATACCAATGACATCTTTGAGAATGCAGGTATCCCAGCACCAGAAATCCAGTATACCACAGCAGGAACAGGAATTATAGAGATCATCGCTGGACTTATTGGGGTAATCTTACAAATTAGAGAGGCGCACTTATACTGTTGCTAGTGATATATTTTTGTTGGTGTTGTGTCCAGAATGTATTTTATAATTTATTGATTTGATATAAAATAAGGTAAGAAGACAGTCTCATGTCTGTGTTACAGAGCTGGAGTCAGGATGTGGTTAGACTAGCTTAGCATAAAGAATAGAAACAGGTGGAAATAGCTACCCTTGCTCTGCCCAAGTTCAAATATACACCTACCAAGACCCATAATGCTCACTTGTGAAGCTCACTCATCTGTTTAATGCACAACCAAAAACGTTTGTGGAGTAATGTGCTGGAACTATTTTCTTGGTAAGCAGTCAGGCACAGTGACTGTGCTGAGCGTCCCGAGGCCAGATGCTTAAAACTCTGCTTAGATTCAGCACTAAAACTCTTTTACATGCACATGGTTGTGTTTTATAAACATCAGTTATTGTGGAACTGAGCCTCAAGTCTAACCCCGCAGTTGGCCAGAAATGGATGTGGAAACATCCTTAATCACCCATTTGTATATTGATACTTTTGCGTGCTCCACCACTCATTAGACCTGGAGCCATGCTCTGCAGTGATATTTTAATCACCATTATTAAATGTCAGAAAAGTAATCAAGATTTTACCATCATCGGCCGGATTTCAAACAACGATGAGACTTCATATCGGGAGGAAATTGATAATCTTGGAGTGTGGTGCTCAGAGGACAACCTACTGCTCAACGTCAGCAAACCTAAGGAGCTGATCGTTGATTTTAGGAAGAAGGAGATAAAGACACACACTCCTGTCTACAGTGGTGCTGAGGTGGAGCAGGTGAACAGGTTTAGGTTCCTGGGAATCAGCATCACAGAGAACCTGACATGGTCGTCTCACATCTCCACGCTGGTGAAGAAAGTTTAGAAACGACTGTATTTCTTGAGGAAGCTTAAGAAGGCCAAATTCCCTCGCCAAGTTCTTGTCAGCGTTTACAGAGGAGCAACAGAAAGCATCCTGACTGGGAACATCACTAACATGGGATGTGCACGACCCAGGACCAGAGGCTCTGCAGGGGGGGGATTCAAACTGCTCAGAAGATCATTGGTACCCATCTCCTGAGCATCAGTGATGTCGGTGAGGTGAGGTGCCTGCAGAGCCCAAAGGATACTAAAGGACAGTACCCACCCAGCCACAGCCTGTTCACCCTGCTGCCTTCTGGGAAGAGATATAGAAGTTTCTGCTGCCGCACCACCAGACTGCAGAGCAGCTTTTCCCCCAAGCTATCAGACTCTTAAACTCTCGTTCATCCTCAGCACTGCTCCACTGATTATACTCTGCTCAAAAAAATAAAGGGAACACTTAAACAACACAATGTAACTCCAAGTCAATCACACTCCTGTGAAATCAAACTGTCCACGTAGGAAGCAACACTGATTGACAATCAGTTTCACATGCTGTTGTGCAAATGGAATAGACAACAGGTGGAAATTATAGACAATTAGCAAGACACCCCCAATAAAGGAGTGGCTCTGCAGGTGGTGACCACAGACCACTTCTCAGTTCCTATGCTTCCTGGCTGATGTTTTGGTCACTTTTGAATGCTGGCGGTGCTTCACTCTAGTGGTAGCATGAGACGGAGTCTACAACCCACACAAGTGGCTCAGGTAGTGCAGCTCATCCAGGATGGCACATCAATGCGAGCTGTGGCAAGAAGGTTTGCTGTGTCTGTCAGCGTAGTGTCCAGAGCAAGGAGGCGCTACCAGGAGACAGGCCAGTACATCAGGAGACGTGGAGGAGGCCGTAGGAGGGCAACAACCCAGCAGCAGGACCGCTACCTCCGCCTTTGTGCAAGGAGGAGCAGGAGGAGCACTGCCAGAGCCCTGCAAAATGACCTCCAGCAGGCCACAAATGTGCATGTGTCTGCTCAAACGGTCAGAAACAGACTCCATGAGGGTGGTATGAGGGCCCGACGTCCACAGGTGGGGGTTGTGCTTACAGCCCAACACCGTGCAGGACGTTCGGCATTTGCCAGAGAACACCAAGATTGGCAAATTCGCCACTGGCGCCCTGTGCTCTTCACAGATGAAAGCAGGTTCACACTGAGCACATGTGACAGACGTGACAGAGTCTGGAGACGCCGTGGAGAACGTTCTGCTGCCTGCAACATCCTCCAGCATGACCGGTTTGGCGGTGGGTCAGTAATGGTGTGGGGTGGCATTTCTTCGGGGGGGGGCCGCACAGCCCTCCATGTGCTCGCCAGAGGTAGCCTGACTGTCATTAGGTACCGAGATGAGATCCTCAGACCCCTTGTGAGACCATATGCTGGTGCGGTTGGCCCTGGGTTCCTCCTAATGCAACACAATGCTAGACCTCATGTGGCTGGAGTGTGTCAGCAGTTCCTGCAAGAGGAAGGCATTGATGCTATGGACTGGCCCGCCCGTTCCCCAGACCTGAATCCAATTGAGCACATCTGGGACATCATGTCTCGCTCCATCCACCAACGCCACGTTGCACCACAGACTGTCCAGGAGTTGGCGGATGCTTTAGTCCAGGTCTGGGAGGAGATTCCTCAGGAGACCATCCACCACCTCATCAGGAGCCCAGGCGTTGTAGGGAGGTCATACAGGCACGTGGAGGCCACACACACTACTGAGCCTCATTTTGACTTGTTTTAAGGACATTACATCACAGTTGGATCGGCCTGTAGTGTGGTTTTCCACTTTGATTTTGTTTCATTGTATAACTTACAATAAACAATACCTACCTAAAGTGCTTCTTAATAAAGGATAAAAGAAAGATAAATTGATCAAGCAGAAGAAATTAATCAAAATTCTCATCTCTCACCTTATTGTTAATTTCCATCAATCTCACCATGATGGTCTGAAGTATACGTGAGCTGCACACTATCTCACTACACATTCTGTTTGTAGTGAGAGTGCCAGGTTAAGTACTGTTGTGGCTAACCCTACTCTGTCTGTGGAGGGATACAATGCTCTTCGTCAAGACATAGTTCCAGCACATATCTTCCCCCCAAAACCACAAACTGTGGTTTTAACATTTGTTTTTGTTAAACAAACAAAATACATGTTAATCAGTGATTTAGCGGTCTTGGTAGGTGTATATTTCAAATTTGGACAGATCCAGGCTAGGTGTGTCCCCCTGCATCCAGTCTTTATGCTAAGCTAGGCTAACTACATCCTGTGTCCAGCTCTGTACGTCAGCACTGTACTTAACACACAGATATGAGATTGATGTCCATCTTCTTATCTCACTCTCTGAAAGAAAGCAAATAAGTGTGTTTCCCAAATGTTGAGTTATTTCTGAAGATACATTAAAGTTCACGGAGGTGTATGTTCTGTAGTGTATAGTCATTTAACAGTGTCTGACGTGATCTCTGTGTCTCCTCCTGTAGTGTTTCTCCATAGAGAAGCTGGGCAGGAGGCCTCTCATGATTGGGGGTTTTGCCATGATGGGCATCTGCAGTGCTGGAATCACACTGGCCCTCATTATGCAGGTGTGTGTGGGTTTCCCTAAAGGTTTTGTGACTTTCCAGTACAGGAGGATGTGGGTGAAAGGCAAAACACGCTGGTTATCCCTTTTCTGTTGTTTTTGGATAAATAGGGCTCAGCGTTAAAGTCAGCAACAAAGAATATGCAATATCCGGTAAAGTCAGCAATATAATTGTGAAATAGTATCTGGTTAATGTTGTGAAACGTTGACATTTTTTAGGTTTAGGCAAGAAAACTACTTGGTTAGGTTTAGGATAGTTAGGGTTAAGAACTTATGTAAGTTAAGTAACATAACTAACGTAGCTTGCATAACCTTCGTAACTTCACTAAAAACCAATCAATGTTGATCTTTTGTTTCACACTGTAAACAAACACTGGTCTCCTGGGCGAGTCCGGTTTCTGACCCACCTGTCCACCCCAACCACCTCCTTACTCTGATTTTTGTGTTATTTATATCCTACACCTACACTCTTACAAACTGACGCCAATGGGTCTTAACCATGCGTCCATACTGTATGTAAAGACTTGGCAGTGAGAACGGGTTGATCTATTACCCACACAGGTTCCTGCATCTTATTTCATCTTCTCACTTGTGCCTACAGCAACAACACCCACACCAACAAAACCCTTTGTGCCAGCATAGTGCTGTGTTCTGTCTGAACACAACAAACACACATGCAACTTTACAGGCAATGTAGGGTGTCTAATGCTCCTAATCTGCATGTTTTTGTACTTTTGGAAGTAACCACTGTTACCATGAGAACATGTCTGTCTCTTCTTTCAATGTCACTTTCCTCCCTTCCCTTCCTCACTTTCCCCAAGAGAGGACACAAGCATAAGAAAAGACAAATGAACACACCCCAGATGTTCAAGAGGGGAATGAGTTTGGGCATGAACCACTGTACCTGTACCTGTTTCACTTTTTCATGATTTACATGCAGGACAATGTAGCAGCAGCCTGAGGTGTGATGTAGTGTTCTGGTAGGACCAAGTCAAGATTCGCATTAGAGAAAATACGTGTTAAATGTTAAAAGACTGACTTCTTCATGTTGTGCTGTTTGTCCTCCTGCAGACTCACTTTTCATTCATGCGCTACATCAGTGTCTGCTGTGTGGTCGGCATCATCGCTGGCTTCTGTATCGGTCCAGGCAAGTTGCTCTACAACAAAACCCCCCATATTTGCTCACTCATATTTGTTTTGATGATGTAGACCTAATTTCAAGCTGTGCAGCTCTCAGACATATTTGATGGTGGAACCTCCTGCATTTTTATGCACTGCTAATATAATCCAATGCTATAAACAGGACACCATTAAATTAACCGTTTTTGACATATTTAAATGTCTTATTTTGTCCAAAACCCAAAGATATTCCGTTTTCATAGTACACATACACATAGCACTACAAAAAAGCACGATATTCATTCCTTATTTCAGTCTGACACACTTTCGCCAAGAAATTGACCGTTTATAATAAATGTATACATTTAGATTTAGATTCTTTGAAGGAGCATCAGTGCTGGGATTCTGCTGAGAGCTAACCCCCCAAAACAAAAGTATTGTTCCCTGAGTATTAGCAGGTAGAGCTCCCAAAACAACAGAGCCACTGTGATCCGCCATCCTGAATCTATGCAACATGCATGTTGCAAGTTCCTTTGATCGTTAACAAAGCCCTTCTCATCTGAGATGAGCTCAGACAACATCCTGGCTAGCCAGATAAACATGCAGCAGGGTTGTATCCTGATACAAGGTAAATATTCTAAACAATAATGTACCTACCTGTGAAACAAGTTCATGTTGCAGTTCCCCTTGAAAGCTAAATACTTAGCCAGGCCACCTCTCATATCTTAAAGCTAACCAAATTATCAATGAGCAGATGTTCAGAGATAGATTATATTATGACATGAACAACCCCCCAAAACAACTTAAAATCACAGTGAAAATAGCAAAAATCATCAAAACACCAGAATAATCTTCTGAATAGACCCCTGACAGAGTGGGTGCTGGCTTCTGCAGGATTGAGACTGACGGCTCTTTGGCAACCAGCTGACCACCAAGCCTGGTACAAAAAACACCAACAACTGTGCTGGTTATTTTTTTTCAAAACTCACTCTTTTAACTTATATTAAGGCTTTTAAGTTCGCCACCAGGGCTCCACCTCTTTGTCCATTTTTTTAGCTGGGAGTTAGGCAAGTCAGGAGCTGCCTAAGATGTCGACAGCCAGAGCTGCCACACTGAGCTTCACAATCGCTCTTCAGAAACCTATGGGGGGCATAACGGAGACTACCTTCATTGTTTATACAGTTTATGGAAATGAACTGCCATTATTTTCCATCAAGTAGCATTGTCCAAAATGAGAAGCACAGCATACCACAAGAGGGTAGTGATGAAATATAGTTACTTTATTCTGCATTTTATGTTTGACTTCTCCACTTTCCAGATGATTAACAGTACTACTGGCTTGGTTACTCTACAGAGGTTCTGGTTGCTTTGGGTTATTCCATGGCTCCCTCTGGAGGTCATACCTAAAATTCTTTAGGGGTCTCTAATTTGAAGAAAGTAAAAAATGTGATGCAACTTCTAGAGCAATAATTTATAGCCATAGGAACTATCTAGTTAATCTAAACTGTAACTGTGTATTTATGCATGTTGTGATGAAACCATATTATATGGCCCCTTATTAGAAAGACAAGTAATGCTGTTCTAATGATAGAATATAATAATAAATATTAGTAATACGCTTTCTCTTATATATGGATCTTCTTTCCACATGCTGGCCTGGCCTTCAATCTCTAATTAGCCTTTCATACGTTTTCTTGGTGTCACAGATGATAACCAAATCATGAACATAAATAATATTTAATATTTTCCATACACAGCCACTCATCAGTAGAAATGTTGCAGGCTTGCCCAGACATATCCTGTTAGTAGACTCATCTGCACTTCCTTTTCTTAAAAAAAAAAAAAAAAAAACTGTTAAAAAATGTAGTGCTTTCATTAAAGTATGAAAAGTGCTCTATTACCTCCACCTCATGAACTAAAGTGACAAGATAATGTTTCATTAAGATACGACAATATATGATGTGACAGCAGACACGGTTATGTTTTGGTGGACTATGACTGGAAGAATTATTATACATAAATAAATATAATAATATAAAGACAAATATGAACAATGGTTAATACTACTCAGCATGTATAACTCTGTTTGGGATTGGAGACTACAATTGTTTTACAGAAAGCCTGCAATCCTGAGGTGTTGAGTTTGAAAGATATAGGTGTAATAAAAGGTACTGTCAAGTTGCATAGTGGGAAATTTTTTGGAGCTGCACCAAATTCAGTGCACTAAAGTTTAGGCTATCGCTGCCTCTGCTGAACACATTTAGACCATTCTTCTTTTTAACCTGTCTCTTATGAGCAGCCCAACCTAATGGAAGTGTAATACTAAATCGCTAGTACGCCCGTTTCAATGAATGAAGCACAACATTCAACAGAAGATTTGTACCTTTTTTTTTTTTAAATATCTTTTGCTTTACTCCATTTCCAGCGGGTATTCCCTTTCTGATCACGGCAGAGCTGTTTAAACAGTCCCACCGCCCAGCGGCCTACATTGTAGGAGGATCACTCAACTGGCTGTCCAACTTCACTGTGGGCTTTGTCTTCCCCTTCTTGCAGGTGAAAGTTATATGCTGTGCTGTGCTGTGCGGCACATGCTTTTCTCTGTTCTAAATGTTATTACCACTAGGGGTGCTCTGGCATATTAAAGATCATAAATTGAATGAGGTCATAACTGGTTAATCTAATCTAATCACTGACACCCTGCTTGGTATGGTTCCAATCCCAATTCTTGTTCTCCCCTGCATGACTCTCTCTGTGTGATAACAGAGCGCCATGACAATTCACTGTGTCATGTCTGACACAAGTGCAGTCTGATGTGAGTCCTAGAGAACAAACATGGTGTAAGCCAATTCTCAAAACATCCGTCTCCGTCTAACCTTTCTATCCTCATCTCTCCATCCTTCTAATGATCCTCCTTCCGTCTGCCACATCCAACAACCAGATGTCAGCGGGGTCTTACTGCTACTTGGTGTTTGCCGCCATTTGTGTGTCCGTGGCCATCTATGTCTACATTGTAATCCCAGAAACCAAAAACAAGACTTTCATGGAGATCAGCCGGATGTTCTCTAAGAAGGAGGCAGTTCTAGAGACCCAAGGCCTGATCCACGTGGACCAGCTGAAGTTGAAGAAGATGAACGGCTACGGTGGTGTGGAACATGCTTCACTGGAGTTCGACAGCTCTTCTTCTGCACCTTAACTGATCAGGTTGTCACTGGGTCTAGAAAACCATTTATTAATTCCTGTTCTCCGTTCTACTGTTTTGAAATGTACACATAAACCAAACACCACCTCACCTGGACTGAGTGAATTTAGACTCTTCACTTGGATCACACGCCAAACATTGATGAATATACTGTACAGTTCTAGTATCTGCAACTTCTTATCAATTTCATGTAACAGACTGCTTGAGTCATTAAAGTAAAAATCCCGTTAATGTAAAGTTGGGTCTAATTTTTAGGTTTGGATGTTCTTCCTATCTCTGCTAATAACATTGTATTCACCGAGATAATAAGTGAAATCAGGGTACTGTGTGACAGACAATAAGAAGTACGAGCAGTCAGACTTTGACCCACTGTACTTATTGTAGCTTAGGACGCAGTTTTCCTGTGCAAAGAGGGATTATTAGCAACACTTCAGGTGCTGTCACTTTTACTTTGATGTCCAAATCTGGACATCAAATTAAAAGTTGGTTGTTTGTGCAACTTCATTAGATAGATAGATACATAGATAGATAGATAGATTATTGAGGTGAGTGCAAAAATAAGTATGGAAGCCT